TTGATGCAAAAGTGTGTGTGTATAAAATAAAAGCCTCCTGCAAGATAGGTGTACTCTAATTTAAGTCAACATACATTAGAATTTAACTCAACACTAATTTTCCAATAGCTTTTGGCAGCGTTTTCCATAAGGAATTTTGTGTAATTGCTTTTCTGACGTTGAATGAAGTCTATGATTGTGAAATGGACTGGTTGGAAAATTAGTGAAAAGTCCATACTTAGCTTGTGTTTGAATCTCATTTTTAGGAGAATAGAAATTTGGAATGGTGATTGATGTGAGAATATGTGGTGNTCTCTTGTGTTTGAATCTCATTTTTAGGAGAATAGAAATTTGGAATGGTGATTGATGTGAGAATATGTGGTGAAAAAGTGATGAAAAGTTTTTGATTTGTGTGTAATATTATTTTATTTGGAGAATCTGTGTTTGAAATGAAGAAAGAGAAAAACAAAATAATGAGAATGAGAAAAAATAAATGTCAAACATGGGCTTAATTTCAACAAAAACGTTGAATGTCTGTGAAATGGAATGGTCGGTGTTCAACAAACCACATTTAAATTGTCTTCTTTGAACAATGTTAATTCATTATTGTCTTCAATATTTTCAGCCACATTCAATGCATATGCTGACAAGTCATCTTTAGCATACTTTTGTGGAAGTTTAATTACCCTCCCAAGTCTTTTCTTAGAAATAGAATATTGCGGTACTTCGGGTGGTGGTGAAGCAATACACTCTTTCTCTCTCTTCTATAATAGACTGAACTCTAAATTTTGGTTTAGATCTCGAACCGATTTTCAACTTCACCTGAGTGCATTGTTCCATTCGAGTTGACTCACCAAAATCCTTTTTCCTTTATACAAAGAAACAATTAATTATTGATTTGCAAAAATATGGTGGTATTATATCTTTAACATCGGATTTATGGGAAGGGATTAATAAAAGAGGTTATATAATTGCAAGTGCACACTACATAAACTCACTTTGGTGTATGCATAAAAAAATTATTGGTTTTAAAATAACTAAGTTCCCATACAGTGCTAACAATATATTGCGAGAGTAAAATTCGTTCGTTTACATTTGATAACGCTAGTGTTAATAAACTTGTTGTTGATAAGTTGTGCAGGGTATTGCTACCTGATTTCGGTAGTTATTTATTTCATGTTCATTGTGTGTATCATATTTTTAATTTAATTGTCTAAGATGGTTTGAAACATACTAAGAACGAAATTTGAAGCATTAGGGATGCACTAATATATATCACGATTTCACCTAATAGAAAATAAGTTTTCGAAGAATTTTGTGCTGAATTTGAAATGATCGATACGAAAATATTTGTTAGCGATGTAGGACATAGATGAAACTCAACTTACTTATTATTGAAATCATGTGAAAGATATGAATATTTAATAACTGAATTATATAAAAGTAGTCATATTAGAAACGATGATGACATTATTTTGAATGAATCAAATTGGATGTTAGCTTTTAAAATTAAAAAAATTTTGACAAATTTTTATGACTCTACAAATATTTTATCTGGAGTTTATTATCTCACTAACTGTATGATTGCTTAAACGTCTTTGTATCATTGTGGGGTCCTTTGATAAATACAAAAATTTGACCTGAATTTTAGTGAAATTATATTTTCTATGGAATTAAAGTTCAGAAAATATTGAGAAGATTTTACTATGTTATTTCCTTTGGCATGTATCAAGGACTAGCAATACAATTTATGAGGTATTAAATATGCAATTGATCAAATTTCAAAAGCTTTCACTTATTAAAATTTAGAACAAATTTTATGCGAAATGTATGAATGATATGCACAACGAATGTGTCCAAATATTAGTTTGGCACCTTCTACACCTACCCCTCCCACTACTCCTGAAGAACACGAAGATGAAATACGGAATTTATTTGAAGGCATTAACACGTATAGATATGATACAGTAGGTTCTTCTTGTATGTCTACCGTATATAATCAGACATCATATGAAAGATCAAACTATTGCTTGCTGAATTAATTGATTACTTTAATCATCATATGCCTAGTAATGTATTAATTAGAAAATGTTCAGAAGAAATAATTGAATTCTGACGAAAGTACGAACAACGATGGCCTGTAGTATTTGAGATTACAAAAGACTTACTAACACCTCCGATTAGCATTGAAAGAAGATGTTTTGAAAACATTAATGAGCTTGAAGAATTATCAAGACGCTTATTTCCGACTACAAGATAAGTAATATTGCGTGTCATCAGGTAAATGATATTTAATTTAATCATATTAATAAAATTTGTTATTTCATAATACAATTTTTAATTTTTTGAAATTTTTTATACATAACAAGTTGTTCGTATACAATTTTAAACTGATTCCAGGCTCGGATAAAGGAGGAAGTTTTTTTTTTTTTTTTTAAGGAAAAAAAAAGGAAATTCAGAGAGCTTATAGGCCAAGCTTGGCTTGGCCCACGAGCCACAATTTCAAGGGCTAAGCCAAGCTTGGCCCTTGAGTAACGAGCTGATTCAAAATGAGCCTCGAGAACGGCCTAGGCCATTGCCACCCCTACCTATATATAGTTGACTTTTCTTCATAGTTAGAATAAGTTAAATAAGAAAATACAATATCTTTGTACTATTTCTCTATATTATAGTGACTTC